CGAATTCTGGCAATAAATGATAAGTCTTGACGATTAAGGCATTAACTAGAACCTTAATATATCAAGTTTTAAAGCTAAACAGAATTTGCTAATGATCCAAAATTATATATGATGCAATTAAGAATAATAGAATTACAATGGAAGAATTATGCCATACAAAAAGAGACCAAGATTCTAATATTTTCTTAATATATTTACAATTTCAGATCATGTTGCAACTTACACGGAAACACATTCATATTACCTCCTTTTCAAGTTTCAAAACTGCCATGAAAGCTTCTTGGGGAACATCAACTTTACCAATAGACTTCATCCTTTTCTTTCCTTCAGCCTGGTTAGAAAGAGACGATAATAGTAGAGCAATCAAAGGCATAAATCAGAATTAAAACATCAAATGCGTTTAAGTAATTTTCCATTCCCACCATGCATATTGATCAAGTAATAACCATACTTATTTGTACGAAAAATACTACTGGAACTGAAGTGAGAACACACATCTATAGATACATGTATACATAGCTAGACATCCATTTTGATAACCTTAATACAACAAAAGATTCGTGAATTTATATACTAGACTATACCTGTTTCTTAAGCAATTTCTTTTTTCTTGTAATATCACCACCTAGAAGATCAAAGAGAAAAAATTGCAAGGCAATCCAGGCAATCGGATCAGTACGAGGAAAAAATAAAGTGAAAGATGGATGTCTTGTACCAAATACAATATTGTTCGTAGTTTCTATTTTCTAAATATCTACATAAGAACGAAATTTCACTTATAATAGGAAGAGTCACATGGTTAGGAATTCTTCTCAAAATATGTGGGAAGAGGAACACGAAAAAACGAGTTAAGAGATTTCATCGCGGTGGTAATAATGATTTAAATATTTTTAAGCATGTTTAAGCAAGACAAACCCTAAGGTTTTCCATTTATCTCACCGTAGCATTTGGCTAGTACATCCTTCCGTATTGCAGATATCGCTTCGCTGGCAATCACTTTTGATCCTATACATGCCTAGAATAAAGTGACCAAGCATATATGTTAATGTTATCATGGTTAGCTTAATGATTTTTAATAAATATTTTTGAAAAATTAACAATAGAAGTGTACTCAATGCTTACTTGAATTGGTACTTTAAACATTTGTCGTGGTATGAGCTCCTTCAACTTCAAAGTCAAAGCCCTTCCCACAGAATACGCCTGAAAATAAAAGCTTCAGCTGATTTTCCGATAATTTGTAGACATCAAAATTAAAAAGTATAATCACAAGATATGCCCCAAATTTAACTATAATGGTGTAGCCTATATAATACATGATGAAGTATAGCTTATGCAGACGGGACTAGCAGTGAGACGTGAACAGTAAACCAAGTGAGCCATAGATAATTTTTTAAATAGTTAAAATAGTATCTTGTGATATTTCATGGTTCAAAAGTCCAGCAATTAGAGGCAAAAGCACTTGAGGTATGTGCAAGGGAAAGAATCAGTGATAGTAGTGTAGTGAAATAGCAGTTAACGTTGAGATGCGAGGAATTAAGAGGAGGGTGAGGATTGTAAGGATTGTTGTTGTTTACCCGTCATTTATTCGAATATAGTAGTTTAAATAGTTAAATAAACCACTTAGATTTGAATCAAAGCCGTACAATTTGTTTCCTTTTATTTTTTAACCATAGCTTTAAAGAGACCGTATGTTAGGACATAGGGTATTTGGATATAATGGGAAAGGGGATTAGGATAGGAGGCAGAAGAGTTGTATAAATAGTTGTTTGTTTAGTGGAGGGGGGACTTTTGGCAGTTAGGTTGTTGAAAGGCTTTGTCCTGTGGAGGGGGTTAAGCCCTTTGTATCTGTAGTTGCACAGACCATTCTTTTGTGAATAATACTCAGTTTAATTCTTTTTTCTCTATTGTGTACATGTTACGTGTGGTGTTTGGAGCGTTCTTGATTAGGTTTCTCTTTCGGAAACCTATCAATTGGTCCGACCTGCCGGATCAAGAGGGGCGTGTGACGGAGATGGAGGGAACTACGGAGGCAAGACTGAAGAATCTTGAGATCACGATGGAGGGGACAAAGGCGAGACCGCCGCTATGCGTCACGACATGCAACAACTTATGAGGATAATGGGGGGCCAACTAACAATCATGACGGAAATTCTGAAGGGAGCAACATCTCGGTGAATGACAATGAAGGAAGACGCGATAACGTGGGGATACAGCAGAATTGGCGAAAACGAGTGGATCTGCCGGCATTTGAAGGACTGGAGCCTCACAGTTGGATTAATAGAGCGGAACGCTTCTTTGATATTCAGAAGGTGGCGGAGGAGGACAAGGTGGAGGTCGCATACATTAGTATGGAAGGTAGTGCGAGTTATTGGTTTAGATTTTAGAAAGACAAAGCCAAGAACCGATCTTGGTCGGCACTGAAAGCAGCGTTGATTAGTCGGTTCGGAGGAGGGTTCAGGGGAACTGTGTTTGAGCAGCTTGCAACGCTGCGACAAGACAAATCAGTGGAGGAGTTCGTCAGGAATTTCAAAATATTATTGGGTCAGACCCGTGGATTATCGAAGGAACTGGTATTGGGATATTTCCTCTCCGGACTACGAGAAGACATTAAGGGGCAGGTTCACATTCAAGATCCTCAAGAATTGATGGGTGCGATGAGGATTGCGCGGGATGTGGAAGACGCGATGTCCAGAGCGAGAGGAGGAGGTTGGAACTGCTTTAAGGTGAACCCAGCGAGGACGCGAACTATGAAGACAGTTGTACGAGGCGAGACCGATCGCCAGTCAATGAATCGGTCAGGCGAAACAGAGGGACATGGGTCGGTCAGGAGAGATGGAAACGCAACGACAAGTAGCATGAAAGGGAGTACGATCAAAGGAAGTGTTAATACAGGAAGGATGGTGTGGAACTTACCATACCCCGAATTCCTCAAAAGAAGAGAAGAAGGATGATGCTTTCGATGTGGGGGGCCTTTCGCTCCCGGCCACCGCTGCTCGGAGACGAGTTTACGCGTTCTGCTTTTGGCGGAGGATGAGGAGGATGACGCAAGCGACGGGTAGAATCGGAGCTGAAACCTATGGAATTGTCTGCTTGCTCGGCAGAGGGGTTGACTCAGCCCAAAACTATGAAGTTGAATGGAATGATAGGAGACCGGGGGGTACTAGTACTCATTGACAGCGGGGCCAGTCACAACTTTATTAGCCGGAGATTGGCGGAAGAGCTGAAGTTGTCCATAGAAGACACACCTCCTTATCAGGTGAGTTTGGGCGATGGTCAGAGAAGGGAGACGAGAGGGTGTTGTGAGAAGGTAGAAATTATTCTGGCAGAGGCAGCAGTTGAGGAGAGACTCCATTTATTCGAACTGGGCGGTGTAGATGTCATCTTGGGGGTTGAATGGCTAGCTAAACTAGGGGAGGTGATGATAAATTGGAAAGAAATGACCATGGGGTATAACCTGGAGGGTAAGAAGGTGATGATACAAGGTGACCCCGCTTTGCCCCGACAGTTGGTTGAACCTCAGGCTTTATTAAAGTTGACAGATGCTGAGTCATGGGTGATGGTTTGGGATCGGGGCCAAGTGGAGAAAGAGGTGGACGGTGAGGGACCAGTTGACTTGACAGGTGAGCAGAAAGCAGAGGCAGTGCTGCAGGCGCACTACCGAGTATTTCAGGAGGTGCAGGGCTTACCACCACCTCGTGATACAAAGCATCCTTACAGAATAAAATTTGAGACTTGGAAATTGGGTTTGATCGAGAGACAAAAAATTATGGTCAGAAGAGATCTTGAGACTGGCGGTGGGAGAACCAAGAACAACAGAACAGAGGAAAACTACACTGCGCATGAGTCTTCTAATCTTTACGAAGCTGATACCAATTGGACATCATGGCTGGTTCCTATGTTTGTGGTTGCTAATATTGTTGTTTTTCTTATTTCCATGTACATCAACAATTGTCCCAAGAATAACCTCGGTCCCCAAGGTGGCTGCATGGCCAAGTTCCTTGGAAGGTTCTCCTTCGAACTTATGCAGGAGAATCCGTTGCTTGGTCCTTCTTATTCAACATTGACCAAGATGGGAGCCCTTCGGTGGGATAATGTTGAGAACGGGCATCAAGGATGGAGACTTGTCACTTGCATTTGGTTACACGCTGGGATTATTCATTTGCTTGCTAACATGTTGAGTCTAGTATTCATTGCGATTCGTCTGGAACAGCAATTCGGGTTTGTGAGGATTGGAGTTATATACCTGGTGACTATCCAGGATCAATATCCTGAGTTCAACCTTGTGGACAAGGTTGTTGAAGGAGAAAAGGGTAATGTTAGGACATAGGGTATTTGGATATAATGGGAAAGGGGATTAGGATAGGAGGCAGAGGAGTTGTATAAATAGTTGTTTGTTTAGTGGAGGGGGGACTTTTGGCAGTTAGGTTGTTGACAGGCTTTGTCCTGTGGAGGGGGTTAAGCCCTTTGTATCTGTAGTTGCACAGACCATTCTTTTGTGAATAATACTCAGTTTAATTCTTTTTTCTCTATTGTGTACCTGTTACGTGTGGTGTTTGGAGCGTTCTTGATTAGGTTTCTCTTTCGGAAACCTATCACAGTATGAGAAAAAATAGAAGCAAAATGAGAATGTTTAGATAAATGTACGCCCACACAAGAAAATGTAGGATATATAATGATTGTATCCAAACACTTCACAGCACTCCAATGAAAAAAGGGAGAATTATAAAACAATCCCTCAACAAAACAGGTCAGATACACAGAAAATTGGAGGGGCTGGCCTCTGTTCACAGTAATAGCCAAGATACTCGTGAGGTGCTCTCATTTCTGGTGCAAAAGCAGGCACAACATCCATGAAGCCAAATGTTTCACAACAAGATTTTTGTAGAAGTTGGAGGCTGCAACCCCATGATAGTGCCACTATCTCATGCATTAATAATTGAGATCTTTTAACAGTAAGAAAAGCTAGAGTAGACAACACAATCTTGAGATTACTTGGGATCTATTTAGACGAACTTCTGCATAAGAACTTCTAGAAGAGAAAAGAAAAAATATGAAATATATACAACACAATCTTGAGATTACTTGGGATCTATTTAGACGAACTTCTGCATAAGAACTTCTAGAAGAGAAAAGAAAAAATATGAAATATATATCTTCATAAGTTAAAACTAGTTTATCCATAAACTAACTAATTTGAAGAAGCGCTCTCATATGACTTCTCCATAAGAACTTCTAAACCAGAAAAGAACAAAAAATATATTTCTCCACAAGTTAAAATTAGTTTATGCATAAACTAACAAATTTAAAGAAGCACTCTCATACAATTTCTCCAAAATTTTATTTTTAACTTATGCATAAACTAGTTTTAACTTAATGAGAATTCAAACTCATTAATTTTTCTTCATATATCTATCTATTAGAAGTCCTTAAGGAGAATCTCATCCAATGAGTTTTTTTGGCAATTTTCAAGCTGTATAGCTTAAAAATGTTTTGATTGTTTATGTTAGGAGGAAGGCTGTTAACAAATAGGTTGTTACAGGTTGTTGTTAGGAGGTTTGGGCTGTTATAGTCTCCTTAGTGAGTAGACTATATATAGGTGTGATTGGGTCTTTTGGAGGGTTACATTTTTTGAAAGTTTGAGAGGCTGGACAGGATCAGTAGCATCCTGTGAGGGAAACATTTTCCCTTGATTGTTTTCTTGTACTCAGGTTGTGGTGAAATAAAAGATCCATATTCAGTGCTGGGTGTGGGTGTCACTGGTGTTTTTGGGTGTGAAACAGCACTTTTTGGGTTTCTTTCAATCAAGAAACCTAACATGTTTTTCATTAGTTTCATTAAAATTGCGCCCACCCAAATCGGCCATTAAGGGACCATGGAAACATTCAATTCCATCGTCATGACATGTAATCATAAATAACCTAAAACCAAAAGACCCCATAAAAACGCAAATTAAAACTTTAACTCGCGAATTTGCAAGCTCCTCACTGCAAAACCATTAACCTCGTTGTTAATCATCAACAAAACCCAAATCGCGTTCCAACCTGCGAGAGAAACGAAACCCTAGGTATGAAATCCTCACGCAAATCGTCCTTCATAGCGAGCTTAATCACACCATCATAGGCCTCTCCATCACGCCCACAACAACAAATCACCTGCAAATCGAAACCAACAAGAAATTCTCGCAAGCTTTACGCAAACTTCATCTTCTCCAAGAAACCTCACGTACTGCCTCCATTAGCTTCTTCAACCAACAGAAAGGAAAAGGCCACATAACCCAACTTGCAATGCGCCATCGTTATAAACACCAAAACAATTCACCATAAAACCTTCTCTATGTCCTCGCGTCCTAAGAATCCCTTTCACATCAGAACCATAATTTAGGTGGAGAATTACAAGTCATAATTCACTCCACATGTAAATTATCATCATGCGACACATCAACCACTAAAATTAATCCAGAATGACCTGTCCTCTACAAATATTACAACTCAGCACGTCTTAACATTGTTTCATACCACTTAACAAAAAATGTTTAATTATTAATAATTTACAAAATTTAGGTTCCAATTGAGCACCGTTTTGAACAAGATCGATTGAGATTCATGAACTAATATAAGGACTATCCGAGGGATTTAAACCTAATTTTATTTTATTTTATTTTGGTCCCTAAAAGCTTACGTAAAAATCTTAAATTAAATTGTTAAATCACTTTAGTTAACTGTATAAAGAACTATCAAAATCTGATTGCGATAAGAAAACAATGAAAAATTTATCAAGGACGAAAAGATTAAAAATATATTAGAGACCACAATTATAAATAATAAAATGCACTTTATTCATCATCATTTTGTCTCTATCCCACTTATGTCCCTACCTGTTTGTGTATATGTTATATTAGCAACTTAGCATTGATAGAAGTCCATACAGCAACCAGTAAGTGATCATTTCAGTGGCCGAATTCTGGCAATAAATGATAAGTCTTGACGATTAAGGCATTAACTAGAACCTTAATATATCAAGTTTTAAAGCTAAACAGAATTTGCTAATGATCCAAAATTATATATGATGCAATTAAGAATAATAGAATTACAATGGAAGAATTATGCCATACAAAAAGAGACCAAGATTCTAATATTTTCTTAATATATTTACAATTTCAGATCATGTTGCAACTTACACGGAAACACATTCATATTACCTCCTTTTCAAGTTTCAAAACTGCCATGAAAGCTTCTTGGGGAACATCAACTTTACCAATAGACTTCATCCTTTTCTTTCCTTCAGCCTGGTTAGAAAGAGACGATAATAGTAGAGCAATCAAAGGCATAAATCAGAATTAAAACATCAAATGCGTTTAAGTAATTTTCCATTCCCACCATGCATATTGATCAAGTAATAACCATACTTATTTGTACGAAAAATACTACTGGAACTGAAGTGAGAACACACATCTATAGATACATGTATACATAGCTAGACATCCATTTTGATACCTTAATACAACAAAAAGATTTCGTGAATTATATACTAGACTATACTGTTTCTTAAGCAATTTCTTTTTTCTTGTAATATCACCACCTAGAAGATCAAAGAGAAAAAATTGCAAGGCAATCCAGGCAATCGGATCAGTACGAGGAAAAAATAAAGTGAAAGATGGATGTCTTGTACCAAATACAATATTGTTCGTAGTTTCTATTTTCTAAATATCTACATAAGAACGAAATTTCACTTATAATAGGAAGAGTCACATGGTTAGGAATTCTTCTCAAAATATGTGGGAAGAGGAACACGAAAAAACGAGTTAAGAGATTTCATCGCGGTGGTAATAATGATTTAAATATTTTTAAGCATGTTTAAGCAAGACAAACCCTAAGGTTTTCCATTTATCTCACCGTAGCATTTGGCTAGTACATCCTTCCGTATTGCAGATATCGCTTCGCTGGCAATCACTTTTGATCCTATACATGCCTTAGGAATAAAGTGACCAAGCATATATGTTAATGTTATCATGGTTAGCTTAATGATTTTCAATAAATATTTTTGAAAAATTAACAATAGAAGTGTACTCAATGCTACTTGAATTGGTACTTTAAACATTTGTCGTGGTATGAGCTCCTTCAACTTCAAAGTCAAAGCCCTTCCCACAGAATACGCCTGAAAATAAAAGCTTCAGCTGATTTTCCGATAATTTGTAGACATCAAAATTAAAAAGTATAATCACAAGATATGCCCCAAATTTAACTATAATGGTGTAGCCTATATAATACATGATGAAGTATAGCTTATGCAGACGGGACTAGCAGTGAGACGTGAACAGTAAACCAAGTGAGCCATAGATAATTTTTTAAATAGTTAAAATAGTATCTTGTGATATTTCATGGTTCAAAAGTCCAGCAATTAGAGGCAAAAGCACTTGAGGTATGTGCAAGGGAAAGAATCAGTGATAGTAGTGTAGTGAAATAGCAGTTAACGTTGAGATGCGAGGAATTAAGAGGAGGGTGAGGATTGTAAGGATTGTTGTTGTTTACCCGCTCATTGATTCGAATATAGTAGTTAAATAGTTAAATAAAAACCACTTAGATTTGAATCAAGCCGTCCAATTTGTTTCCTTTATTTTTAATAACCATAGCTTTAAAGAGACCGTATGTTAGGACATAGGGTATTTGGATATAATGGGGAAAGGAGGATTGGATAGGAGGCAGAGGAGTTGTATAAATAGTTGTTTGTTTAGTGGAGGGGGACTTTTGGCAGTTAGGTTGTTGGAAAGGCTTTGTCCTGTGGAGGGGGTTAAGCCTTTTATCTGTAGTTGCCACAGACCCATCTCTTTGTGAATAAATACTCAGTTTAATTCTTTTTTCTCTATTGTGTACATGTACGTGTGGTGTTTGGAGCGTTCCTTGATTAGGTTTCTCTTTCGGAAACCTATCAATTGGTCCGAACCTGCCGGATCAAAGAGGGGCGTGTGACGGAGAAGATGGAGGGAACTACGGAGCAAGACTGAAGAATCTTGAGATCACGACGGAGGGGACAAAGGCGAGACCGCCGCTATGCGTCGCGACATGCAACAACTTATGAGGATAATGGGGGGCCAACTAACAATCATGACGGAAATTCTGAAGGGAGCAACATCTCGGTGATGACAATGAAGGAAGACGCGATAACGTGGGGATACAGCAGAATTGGCGAAAACGAGTGGATCTGCCAGCATTTGAAGGACTGGAGCCTCACAGTTGGATTAATAGAGCGGAACGCTTCTTGATATTCAAGAAGGTGGCGGGGAGGAGGACCAGGTGGAGGTCGCATACATTAGTATGGAAGGTAGTGCGAGTTATTGGTTTAGAATTTAGAAAGACAAAGCCAAGAACCGATCTTGGTCGGCACTGAAAGCAGCGTTGATTAGTCGGTTCGGAGGAGGGTTCAGGGGAACTGTGTTTGAGCAGCTTGCAACGCTGCGACAAGACAAATCAGTGGAGGAGTTCGTCAGGAATTTCAAAATATTATTGGGTCAGACCCGTGGATTATCGAAGGAACTGGTATTGGGATATTTCCTCTCCGGACTACGAGAAGACATTAAGGGGCAGGTTCACATTCAAGATCCTCAAGAATTGATGGGTGCGATGAGGATTGCGCGGGATGTGGAAGACGCGATGTCAGGAGCGAGAGGAGGAGTTGGAACTGCTTAAGGTGAACCCAGCGGGGACGCGAACTACGAAGACAGTTGTACGAGGCGAGACCGATCGCCAGTCAATGAATCGGTCAGGCGAAACAGAGGACATGGGTCGGTCAGGAAGAGAGGATGGAAACGCAACGACAAGTAGCATGAAAGGGAGTACGATCAAAGGAAGTGTTAATACAGGAAGGATGGTGTGGAACTTACCATACCCCGAATTCCTCAAAAGAAGAGAAGAAGGATGATGCTTTCGATGTGGGGGGCCTTTCGCTCCCGGCCACCGCTGCTCGGAGACGAGTTTACGCGTTCTGCTTTTGGCGGAGGATGAGGAGGATGACGCAAGCGACGGGTAGAATCGGAGCTGAAACCTATGGAATTGTCTGCTTGCTCGGCAGAGGGGTTGACTCAGCCCAAAACTATGAAGTTGAATGGAATGATAGGAGCGGGGGGGGGGTACTGTACTCATTGAACAGCGGGCCAGTCACAACTTTATTAGCTCGGAGAAGATTGGCGGAATGAGCTGAAGTTGTCAATTAGAAGACACACCCTTATCAGGTGAGTTGGGGCGATGGTCAGAGAAAGGGAGACGAGAGGCGTGTTGTGAGAAGGTCGATAGAAATTATTCTGGCAGAGGGCTAAAGCAGTTGGCTTCTCGGGCTTCCACCGTGACTACCACTTCTTTCGCTCTGAAACCTCCATCTCCATGCTGCCGTGAAGCCGCCGCGACACCACTGTCAACCTTCAAGCCGCCGCAACTATCCTCACCGCCGGCCAACTTCTTCTTTCTCGCAAGTTCCTGTTGCCACGCCGCGACCATCTTGCACGGCCACCATCATCCTCATCGACGATCACCATTGGCGCAACCAAATCGGGACTCACACCTCCTCGTATGGTCGTCATCTCCTTCACCAACGTTACGCCTTCAATTTCGAAACCTGCAAGAACCCTAACCCATATCAAGAAAACTACAACAAAAACCAGAAGCAAATTGTGCCACCATGGGAATCGTGAGATCAAGCCATAACATCTTCTCCTCCGTAAGCATTCAAACCTGTAGAGAAGGAGCGAAACCTAACGCGAAGAGAGAATAGGCGTGGCGGCACAAAGAAAGCTCCTTTCCCCCAATCTGCAGAACCCTAATTTTGGGTGGGAAAGGGGCTGACACGTGTCAGTCCCTCATTGGGCGCAACCTCTCTGGTCAAAGTTGGTCAGCAGGGGCTTCTTGTGCAAGTTTGGAGAATTCTGAAGGGGCTAAAGTGCAGATAGAAGAAATTTCAGGGCATTTGTGCAATTTTGAAAAGTCAGAAAAGCTAAAAGATAAAATTCAATTATAATTATCTTCCAAATAATGTTATAATTATCTAAATCTTTTAGTTATTTGGAAGATATAAGATAAAAGATTCTGTCAACTGAATATTCAGAATCCAAGCCCAATCAAGCCTTATATAAAGAGACCTAGGGGAGGAAGAAAAGGACTTCACTTGACTTCATTCATACATTCAACACTTCTCTCTCTCTCTCTTATTTCATCTTGTATCCAACTCCATTCATGGAGAGCTAAACATCTAGGGCTATTCTGCTGTAATTCCATCATGGATTCTGAGGTTAGATTGACTTAATTCAATTGTTTATTTTGATTATTGATTTAAGTTGTTCTCTCTCTATGTCTTTCATCTCTCTAACAAATTAAAAACAAAGATTTTTGCATCATAATGTGTTTGAATCTACATGCATATTGATTATTAGAGTTCTAGGGTTTCTAACTTTAATTGAGAATCTACTTTGATTTAATTTAGAAACTTTCATATGATTAAATGATTTTTACTATCAATTGAGAATGTACTTTGATTGGTAGTAATAATTTCAACTATAATCAATTGAGAATTTACTTTGATTGATTAATTTTTAATTTGGTTAGGCGATTTAAGAATAGACATGATTAAACACAATAGGATTTGATTGAGAATGTACTTTGGTTGAATTCATTGTGAATAATCTAGAAAGGTTTTGCATTTGATTGAGAATTTACTTTGGTTGTGCATGATCGCCCTCAAATTAATTAAGAATGTACTTTAATTAATTTGAAACTTAAATAATAATCAATTGAACAATTATCTTTGAATTCATTGTGAATAATCATTTTTATTCTTGAACATTGCATTGCATTCATAAGATTCAAATATTAAAAGGCATTCCGTATTCGTTGGGAGACGACTCAGGGTTACTTTAACCCTTTCTACTTTCTTGAATACTACTTGACAATACTGAAGTTGCCTTGAAAAGTAGTATTAATTTGATAGCTTCAACGACAGCCTATCAAATTTAAGGAAGTGCATGTCATTTTGCACAATAATTTGTTCGGTTAAAATTATTTTCTACCATAGCTAGGAAAGAGGTATGTACTCTTTACATAACAAATTGGTTGAATCGGATAAAATGTTGATTTTAGGTAATGCATAGTATATAATTAAATTTTTAGATCAAATAATCTTTTATCTCATTTATGATTCAAGTTCTATCATCACTTAGTTTTTATCAGTCAAATATAATTTTAGGAAAACAATATAAATTTTACCAAAACCATAATTTTGTAGCTAGGCAATGTTATTAAACCAATTTCAAGGCACGACATTGCACTACGTTTCTATGTATTCGGTCGATCGCATACTAGTTTACTTCTTAATTATTTTATGGTTTACATCTTCAGATGATTCTCATATTTGTTTAAAATTCTCCATTCAGTCTTTTCGTTTAAAATAGTGCTATTAATAAAACTATAAACACTCATCTTCATCGTACCACCGCAAATTTCGCACTGTCGTCATCTCCATTAGACTACCTCGACTCCACCATGTTCGTTTCAATCACCACCACGAGCAACATCTTTCATGTGTCACACACCCATCAAATTAATCACAAAGCAGTCGTTTTGCCACCATGACGAAACCCTAATCACAGAAATCGTGAGTTCCATCATTGCACCATGATCGCGCCTCTGTGAAGACTTGAAAACCAGAAAACTCAGATTGTGAAAAACCCAAAATCATAACCAAGACGCAAACTATAAAAGCACCACCACAATCTCGTGTCTTCATTCCTCTTCTACCGTGAATAATCTTCACGAACTTGCAAAAACCAATTTGCGAGAATTGCGCCACCCAAATCGTGCAATTACAGGGACCATGGAACATTCAATTCCATCGTCATGCACATGTAATCATAAATAACCTAAAACCAAAAGACCCCATAAAAACGCAAATTAAAACTTTAACTCGCGAATTTGCAAGCTCCTCACTGCAAAACCATTAACCTCGTTGTTAATCATCAACAAAACCCAAATCGCGTTCCAACCTGCAGAGAAAACGAAACCCTAGTATGAAATCCTCACGCAATCGTCCTTCATAGCGAGCTTAATCACACCATCATAGCCTCTCCATCACGCCACAACAGCAAATCACCTGCAAATCGAAACCAACAAGAAATTCTCGCAAGCTTTACACAAACTTCATCTTCTCCAAGAAACCTCGCGTACTGCTTCCATTAGCTTCTTCAACCAACAGAAAGGAAAAGGCCACATAACCCAACTTTGCAATGCGCCATCGTTATAAAACCAAAACAATCACCATAAAACCTTCTCTATGTCCTCGCGTCCTAAGAATCCCTTTCACATCAGAACCATAATTTAGGTGGAGAATTACAAGTCATAATTCACTCCACATGTAAATTATCATCATGCGACACATCAACCACTAAAATTAATCCAGAATGACCTGTCCTCTACAAATATTACAACTCAGCACGTCTTAACATTGTTTCATACCACTTAACAA